GGTTCATTAACTGAAAATATAATTCAACTCATAACCTTCCCCGAAATTAAATCCTATCAAAATATACATAAAGTAGAAACCTTACTTTGCCAATTGAAAATTTGTACTAATCGCCGTAATTTTAGTTTCCCGAGTTAGTAGTTTTTAGATGCACAAATTTCGGTGATTTCTGACGATATAAAAATTGATTACCACACGGTATTGTACGTATAATGAGCCCACAACTCCTACATTTCCAATGTCGGCTGGATTTTTGCATGGGCGGTGAACTGAAACTGTTTAAATTTTTGCACAAATACAAATAAATTCTGCATACATACAAACTACTTTGAATTCGGAGTAACATGTCAACAAATGCAAGTCCACACTGGTCTCCATTTCCTTCTACTTCAAAAGCCTTTTTTTACGAATTTACCATGTCAAGTCCACTCGCTTATCATTGATTGCCTTCAGTGTAGCTGCAGGTCTGAAAATGTAATCATGAACGTGAAGGATAAATTAATACAGAAATTGTATTTGCAATAAAAACGGCCATCGCTTCATCAACGTTGCATTCAAAGGCTTTTACTGGCAGTTTAAAATCTTCCTGGATTATTTTTGCGTAACTTTTTCACCTCTGTGTATTTTGAAAACGTTTGACAGGTTTGTTTTCGAAAAGGTGGGTGGTTTTTAATATTAAACCATTCAGTGGTTATAATACAGGTACCTAGCTAGTGACAAAAGGAGTAAACCGAAGGTAAATGTAGCAAAAGTTATCCCACTCCTATCTCTTCATTATTTAGTTTTGTGAAAACACAAGGCATTCCAGTATTTCCCCTACATAATCCAATGTGAAAGGTCAAGGGTCACAAAAGTGTCAAGTTTGAAATTGGGTTCGTTGCCGATTGTGCGTGGATGCGATATTTTAACTCGTAAGTTAATGAGGCGTTTTTATTTTATAAACGTAACGAATTTAAATTAAATGTGATGTATAACCGGCAAACAATTGAATACTTACAACATTAACAGAAATAATTGTGGAATTGGTTTAGATGTAGATGCTCTAGAAACGTTTAACCATAAGCTCTGTAACCTCAGCAACGCTTGATGACGTGTTTGCCTTTTGTCATAATTCTATGCGAAAAGCTGCTTTGTTTTGCCGCGAATGCCTCTTTGATAAATATATGTTTATCCACGTAAACGGAATAAACCATAAATCCAGAAAATTTCCTCTGCACAGATTTGTCCATTCAAGCAAAAAGACCATTCTTGTCCAATAATGATGGACCAATGCACGTTAAAGTAGGATCTGAAATTCCATTTTAAGCTTGCGTAATGCGATCATATCTTAACGCGAAGGATTCAAATAGTTTGATCCCGGAATTAGTTCCTAATCTGGCGATGTCGGGCGCATTACCGGGTGTGCTACGTCATGTTCCTCTGCAACCAATTGAATATAAACGATTGCTTAAATGTCGCTTCCTCGAAAATTTAGACCAATTTCAATGCAAACAAAACTATGACAACGGTCTAGAATACGGAATCCGTTCCGGTATCAGATTCAATCTCAATCGTTTTTAATGCCGGTTGTAGATGGAAAATTTAAGCAGATGTGCCACACGTGCATTAAAAAGGCGACATTATTTAGTAACTCGTCGTGAAAGCTACTTTTGAATTAGTAAAATGGTCTGAATGCCTGGAGCTCAGGCGTTTTATGTGAACAAATTAATCATTTCCCAAAATGCAAGTTATGCACAGTCTGAGTTCAATTTTAGATAACCTGAGCCCTGTCAAATATTTAGAAATTTGCCTTTGCAGTTATCCAAGATAGATTTTCAGGTGGAATCACCCGATTAGAGAAGATAAAAAAAGAAAAATAAACAGGCTATAGAAAGGAAATGCAGTACGTTACCTCTCTGGCTTCCATCAGAGGATGTTCACTAATGCTACATCAAGCATAATAATTAAATGTAGAAAAACTGGAACATTAGCTAGATTCGGTTAATAAAACCGGCATCTTTTTCTCTAAAACCGTTTAAATTATTTATCCAAACATCTTTACATTGCATCCTTTTGGAGTAAATTTATTTTCATAGGATTCCTTATTTGTTAAGATGTTTCTTTTTAGGGTATGCCACGTTTTAATTTAATTACCCATCGTTCTTATTCCTATATCGCAATCCGAAACCCATTTATTAATAGAGTTCGTAAGTTTGCATTAACGAGAATTGGGTTTGATTTTGGCATTGTAGTTTTTGCATATATTTTTTGTTCCATAAGAGGATTGGGGTGGTCGTATTAAAGAAGTACCGTGCTCTGGATGAAATTCAAACACTCATGATCCCCGTCTTTTTAAAATTCCAACGTTTGTTGTATTCTAAATGAACACCTCGATTTTGAATTTTTTTTAAATGCATGATTTTTTCCATTATTTTTTGTGATTTTATTAATTTTTCTCTAAATACTGCAACAATTCAATTTACAATTAAATAGAAAACCCTCTCATCAAGCAGAAATAAGAGTCAATAAGGGTTGAACAAGTTCCAAGATTGGGCTACTATTTCAAAAGTTATTTAATTTAAAGTTAATTTTCTTTCGAAATTGGTCTAGTCTATAACTTTTGATAAAAAATCTAATCGAAAAAGTACGAATTGTTTTGGATTTTACGCACCAAAATTAATAAGAAAAAGTATTCTCCCGAGAAATTTTGGTGTAGTCGATTTTTAGTAAAAAAGGAAGGTTATACACTGCCTTTTTTTGAGGCCCGCAAAAAAAAATTGTCTTAGATCGACCCGGAAAAAAAATAGACTTATAGAATGTAGCCTGTAGAATCCATAATTTCAAACTGTTCCAAGATTGGGCTACTATTTCAAAAGTTACAGCCCTTTGAATTTTCTTTCGAAATTGATTTCTAGTCTATAACTTTTGATTTAAAAATCTAATCGAAAAAGTACGAATTGTTTTGGATTCTACACACCAAAATTAATAAGAAAAAGTGTTTTCCCGAGAAATTTTGAGGCAGTCGTTTTTTGGTAAAAAAAGGAAGGTTATACACTGCCTTTTTTTGAGGCCCGCAATAAAAATTGTCTCAGATCGACCCGGAAAAAAAATTTCTTTTATAATGTAGCCTGTAGAATCCATAATTTCAAACACTTCCAAGATTGGGCTACTAGTTCAAAAGTTACAGCCCTTTGAATTTTCTTTCGAAATTGGTTTCTAGTCTATAACTTTTGATTGAGAAGTCTGATCGAAAAAATACGAATTGTTTTGGATTCTACGCACCAAAATTAATAAGAAAAAGTGTTTTCCCGAGAAATTTTGGTGTAGTCGATTTTTAGTAAAAAAGAAGGTTATACACTGCTTTTTTTGAGGCCCGAAAAAAAAATTGTCTCAGATCGACCCGGAAAAAAATTTTCTTATAGAATGTGGCCTGTAGAATCCATAATTTCAAACAGTTTCAAGATTGGGCTACTAGTTCAAAAGTTACAGCCCTTTGAATTTTCTTTCGAAATTGGTTTCTAGTCTATAACTTTTTATTGAGAGGTCTAATCGAAAACGTACGAATTGTTTTGGATTCTACGCACCAAAATTAATAAGAAAAAGTGTTTTCCCGAGAAATTTTGGTGCAGTCGATTTTTGGTAAAAAAGGAAGGTTGTACACTGCCTTTTTTTGAGGTCCGCAAAAAAAAATTGTCTCGGATCGACCCGGGAAAAAAATTTCCTTATAGAATGTGGCCTGTAGAATCCATAATTTCAAACAGTTCCAAGATTGGGCTACTAGTTCAGCAGTTACAGCCCTTTGAATTTTCTTTCTTTTTAAAATTCCAACTTTTGTTGTATTCTAAATGAACACCTCGATTTTGAATTTCTTTTAAAATACATGATTTTTTCCATTATTTTTTGTGCTTTTATTAATTTTTCTCCAAATACTGAAACAATTCTATTTACAATTAAATAGAAAACCCTCTCATCAAGCAGAAATAAGAGTCAATAAGGGTTGAACAGGCCAACCTCTCCTCATACTCTCACGATCAAATTTTCGTGTCTGCTTAATGATAGCTCGAGAATAAGTAATCAACAAACATACCCACTGCCATCCAAGGGGTTGAAATAGTCACCCCCTTGTCGCAACTCGAAAACGGCACATACTATCACGATCACATTTTCGTGGATTGCCAATGATAGTTCGAGAATAAACAATTAACAAAAATATCCAGGTTTACTACCCACCAAGGGGTTGAAATAGTCACCCCTTTGTCGTCCTTCAAAATTTATTATTAATTATATTTATTTATTTTCGAACTAGCATTAACCAGACACGAAAATTTGATACTGATAGTATGTGCCATTTTCGAGATACGACATGCCTGTCTGTCCGTGTGTACGATAAGTTTGTTTAGAATAAGCTATTGTGATTCTGTCGATCTCTCCTGAACACGTTTCTGAGCACTTCCCACAAGCCACATTTAATTTTCCTATCCGGCAAGTGAATCCGATCGGATGAAAAAAAGAACATTGAAAATATTGTGTAGATACGCATCTTAGTGTTATCGCTAAGTGTGCCAACTTCATTAAAATACCTAAACTAAAAATCCATTAAGGTGTGAACTACCCTCCACAATTATCCCAAAAAAATGCTTTTAAATAAATGAGTTACTAACCTGTAGCCTGTAGGTAAACAACGAAAAATCGCCTTTTAACATGTTTCGATTTATAAATTTAGAGCTTCCACTTTTATTAGTACGCCACTTATTATATTACCTACATCCACTAGGCCCATTAAATTGTAATAAATGCCTTCCCGCGTGGTTATGATACATTGCCTCGGCCCATACGGCTTTTATTTGAGCTCTTTATAGAGGAAAAGTCTAGATAGAAAATTATTCTAATTTAGTGGGACATAAATTTTTAGACATTCGTGGATTTTCCCTGATATATTTTTAAAGCTTGACAAATTTGCATTTTTGTAGTCAACCCTTAATCCTCTAACCACTTAATCTAAACGCCCATTTTTGTTGCAGGTGTAACCAGATCGCGAGTCTTTTGTAAGTATACCATTTTTTTTAACGAAGTAATAAGGCGCACGAACGCATTTTTCATCTGTACAGCTTTATAATAATCTGTCGTAATAGATCGCGGGATTTTGGGACTTTGCTTGGGTAAACTTTGCTGTAGGTAATTTACGTAGATAGAACACGTAAATGTACTGGACGTTTTAGTAAAATAAAGACGGGATTTTTGTACTGCTGCTATATACCGTATATAAAGGGGTTTGTAGTAGTGAAGATTTATCCCTTCGCGATACAACATGTGCGTGCGTCCTTTGTATTTTCGTCTTTCTATTTGACTTTCTCTATATAAAAAGGAATCTATTTTCGGAATTTTAAACCGTGAAGGAATTGTGTAACATGGCTCTAAAGGAAAACATTTTTCGAGTTTCTATGTGTAGGTAATTTAATGCTTTTGGGGTGTTGATCCTATAAAAAGTTAAATAAGAAAATATGTCGCGACTATACGTTGCATTCAAATAATTACAAGCATAAAACTAACACACAGAAGCAATTAGTAAATCTTATAGGTTCAAAATTATCTTTCATAAACCAACAACTACCCTTTTTTTAATGAAGAACGTACTTACCAAACTATTGGGATTATTTTGAAGAGTTTGTTTGAAAAATAAAATATAAAACTAATCCTTTATGTCAGACTTTGTTTGTAGCTTTCCTATTGCAAATTATCTAACTTCCTACACGAAAAGGCCATGGTACCGCACGTGTTTAGAGACTAGACGAGTCTAAAAGTTTAAAACTCTCAAAAGTTACTATGAAATTCTATAGAAGAGACCAACGTCGAAAGTAAGTTTGAGACTTCCCGAATTCAAGTAGAACTTTTAGAAAATAAATCAAATTAAGTATAGATACCGCTCAGAAGTGTTTCACCAGCAGGGCATTACTAGAAGATAAATTAGGTAACATAAGTGTCGCACCAGTAAACAAATGATCATTTTACGACTATTGTAAATTGTAGAAACAGAAGGCGGCACGTGTAAAGACCACGTAACTCTCTAAGTAAACGTTCTAAAGAAACCAAGTGTGACCTGCACACTTTCGAGTATAAGCCCCCTCTCTCTCCCATCCCTTTCCACTATCAGCATTACCGCCACCACAGGTCTCTGCAGCAGAAGCTTAACTTAACGCTATTACTAGCCAAGTGTATGATGTGGGATTGGTTTCGGTTGGCTAAACTTACATTTGTTGATAAAGAACTTCGGATTCGTGATTCTATTTATTAAATTTTTCTTGTCAATTCCTTATTTTCGTGCTCAGTGCTTTGGAACTTACCTTCCGTACATTTATACCTCTCAGGCTAGCTCAGATTAAAATGGTTATGAACATTTTTCTTCTACTGAAGGTACCTACATTAATAAAAAAATCATAACCAACAATTTTATGACCAAATTACTTAAAATTTAAATACTCGTTCAATGTTAGCGTGTTTTTGAAATAATGTCGTTTCACTCCCCCTAGATAAGAGTTAACAATGTGATAAAAATTCCATGAAATTTAAACCTAGATTTATTATGATTAAACATTAAAGTCGTACGCAAATATACGCGATTTTCTTCCTTCCACTGATAATTCGCATAAAACGGAAATAATAAAGATGTGTACCTAATCGCGTTTGATTATCTCCTGCCGCTTCGGACTTCAGGAACCGGTTGTCGATCTAGTTTGTGGATCAATGTAGCGCACTGCTCACCTCTTCTAAATAGACTTCTCGTAGCGTTGATAGGATTTATAATTCTGAAGAGTCCACCAAAATCAAAAACGGTTCGATTTTCGTCCAAATAATCCCAGAGGTCTTAATCATAAACAAACGCGAGCATTTGAAAACAAGCCGCAAGCAATCGAAAAACAACACGCTGCAAATTTGGGTGACCATTAATCAATGGAAATTTTCCGGTTTATGGTGAAGATCAGCTTTTAATATTTGCGTCCTTAGTTTAAGACTCACTAGAACTAGAAAATGTCCTCTTCCACATATTCCAATTTCTCGAACCATTGAAGTGGCATCAAATAAAACCAAGTCAATTGTGGTTTTTTTTTTAATTATTCGCATGATTTCAGAGCACTATTAAAATTTGGTTTTGAAGATAATGGGACGAATTATTTGAATATCAAGTTTGTAAACTGGTCGAAAATTCAGTACCCGTCTATTGTGAAATGAATCGAAAAAATCGCGTAGGTACATAAAAGGAATACGTAGGCGCCCTTTCCTTAGTTTCCTGCATTGACACTTCTAAACAAAAGCAATATTCATAACTCGCAGAAAACTAACGATGTATTTAGCCTAAACTTATATGAATGAAAAATTCGCGCAGCTTTTAACATAAAAACTTTTAATTATGCACTTAAATTCCAGTTTGATAGCCGCCATATTAACAAATCCCTTGAGAGCACTTTACTATGAAAACTGTTACAATGTACCTGCGGCAAGCGATCTTTTTGCATGACCCAATATGATTAAAGTACTTACTGCGATGAAGTCAACTTTGTATCATATTTGGTAAACGTCACCAGTTTACATTGCAACCCATGCGGAAACTCGCGATTGTATATGGCTATTTTACGAAACAAGCTACTGGATTTAATTTCCATCGTATCTACTATATATTCCTAGTGTGAGCCACGAATAAGAAAGAACTTCAATAGAATTCACGTTCAATTTTTCGTTTTTATTCAATATAATCCGCCATATTTGAAAAAAACAGCGAACCGTTCTTATGAAATGTTGCTTTTGTAGTTAAAGTACAAATTCTCGATTTTATTAAAGATGCCTATACAGGTGAAAAGCCTAAGTATTTGAAATACTCCTGTTGTAATAACTACACATTGTTTAAAGAAACAGGAGGGCAAGTGTCCCAACGTAGGGTGAACGTAACTTGAATGAGTAGAGTAGAGTAGAGTAGACATAGGAATTTGCGTATATTGTACTTTCCTATGTCTAATTTTAAATGACAAAATCTCTTCTGAAGGACGCCTAATTTTATGCAATCAAAATCACTCATGCGCACGCATTTTTGGAAGAGATTTTGTCATTTAAAAGTAGACATAGGGAAAACAATACATTCTACTTCTTAATGAATATCACTGTATAACCGCTAGTATGATATAAAATTTTGTATGTACCACGGGCATTACTTGATGTTTATGGCCTCGGGCGACTTACAAGCCCTCAGGCCAAAAGCCAGCTTGTAAGCGTGTCGTCCTCGGGAAGGCATAAACATCCTCATAATGCTCTTAATACATAAATATAACTATTATTTACACATCAAATTGTTTAGCATCTGATATTAATTTTGTTTGTTTCCATGTTTTTTGACGAATGTAAGTTACTTTTGTTAACTACACATAAAATAAATATTATATTATTATCATCTTATCTAAATTAAGTAAATTTGTTAGAGTTTCAAATTTTATTAAATGTTTCTAAGGTGATGTGTTTATAAATAAGTGTTGTTAATATATTTTTTTGCGCGATCGGTCATTTCTGACTATTTACCATGTGTGTTTCCATGACAGTAAGTTGAATTTACCAGTTGCTATGATTACGACGACGTCAAAATTACTTACCGATCTAAAAACAGAACAGCAAAAATACTTACCGACGCCTTTTTAAAAACAATCAGTTCAATATTACATTTAATCTTTAATTATTGTTACATTAAATGTACAATTTGTGCTGATGTTTCGTATACAAAGAACACGTCATTTAAACCTGAAGCAATAGAGATCAATGTGTTTAAAGTTGTGCTTTCGTTTTTCTTAATACATTCCAATTACAATTTTGTTCTGTAAAATCTTCGACATACCATTCGGCCACCGGCGAATACCTCGCTCATAAAGTTATAACGGAAGTGCAAAGCTAGCAAACTACATCAGACACATGCACAAGAAATTATTAATTTCAGTTTTGACAAATAAACTGGTTACCTAGTGATGTACACCATACCACTTCGATCATTGCAATTTATTCTGCTCGTTAATTTCTTAGTGCATATTATATTGGTTGTATAATTTTAATTTCGATCGCGCAAAAAATGTTATAAGCACGTCGAACGTTAAGGGTTACCGTTCTCAGACAATAATTGGAGTCGTCGCTCCGCTCCTCCTCCAAACAATTGTCTTCGAACGGTAAAAATTCCTTACCGTTCTCCATACTTAATATACTATAATTATAATTCACGTGCTATATTTGCTACGATATATTTCATCTAAATATTTGTTCTACTGAGACTTCCAGTACTTTATTTATAACTCCACTAACTCTAATAGGTTATGGGCCCAGACGAACAATAAATTAGTTGTTGGAAGTCTTACGAGATTGAAGATCATTAAAAATAGAATAACTGTCAAAAAACGTAAGGTGACGTACTTACTCTCGAACTGTCGATCTGTTTTAGTCTCCTAGTCTCGTGGTTATTCGATTAGAAATCAATAAATGGCTGGCGCTAACATCCTTAATGCTACCCGAATCGAATTACTCAACAGAAGTAATTATGATACATGGAACATTCAAGTCGAAGCGTTACTTGTGAAAGCAGATTTGTGGGAATATGTATCCGGTATCCGTCTGAAGCCAGAAGTTGAACCAGATACGCAAAACACCGTTAATCAACAGCAGTTACAAAATGCATGGATTATACAAGATCGTAAAGCGAAGTCAGAGCTCATACTATCAATTTCACCATCCGAGCTGAAGCAAATACGTGGATGCGAAACTTCGAACGATGTATGGATGAAATTACAAAGTATTTACGCATCAAAAGGACCAGCTCGAAAAGCAAATTTACTTAAGCAATTAATTACTCAAAAACTATCCGATGGAAATGATGTGAGGGAACATTTATCGCGTTTCTTTGATACGGTTGATAAACTTAACGCCATGAATGTAGAAATAAATGGCGATCTTCTCACAATTATTCTATTATATAGTTTGCCGGATAATTTTGATAATTTTAGATGTGTCATCGAGACGCGTGACA